TGTTCTCAGATCGAGGGGTTTTCAGTTACAGGTGTTGCAAATATCTTTTCCTAGTCTCATACCTGTGTCTTCTGATTCACAGACATTCTTCATTTTCATGTTTAGTTAGTGCTGGAAATCCACACGTGGCTCCCCGGTTCTGGGGCATTCTCAGGGCCATTCAGCAAAACAAAGGGAAGAATTTCTATGAAGCTGCACCTGCCCTCACAGCTCAGGGAGTCAAGGGCTGGTGACCTTGGAAACTATCGGAGGGACAGGGAGCATCCCCATCACAGCCCCATCCTCCAGGGAGCGGGCCATTGGGGGCAGTATGTTAATGTGGTACCTGTCTTTTGCCCCTGACACGGCTGCTTAACTGGCAGGGGTATAACGTGGGGCCACAGAGGTTTTGTGGATTGTGTTAGCACTGTGTATAGAAAAATACATATTGGCTCAGGAATAAAATGAAGACTTGGAGCTCTAGGGAGATTATCACCAAAAGGGGAGCCTGCTGAAAATCCTGGATGCCTTTCCAGAATAGGAGAGTTTCCAACCTGATGGAGTTCAATCCCAGACTCAGGCCCTCTTCAGAAAGAAAGCAACAGCATTCCCACACGGTGCTGTTCCAGGCTCTGGCTCCAGCTTCAGTTCCTCTTTCCTCTCCTCAAACAGAAGAATGACCTGATAGAGAAATCAAGAACATAAATCATGAATACCCAGCCATGTAGGTGAAGAGGGATAATTGTTCTCAAGAAAGACAGGAAAAGGCCAGGCGCAGTGGCTCACACCTATAATTCCAGCACTTTGGAAGTCTGAGGTGGGCAGCTCACTTGAGCCCAGGAGTTCAAGACCAGCCTGGGTAACATAGCGAGACTCTGTCTCTACAATAAATACAGAAAATTAGCCTGGTGTAGTGGTGCATGCCTATGCTCCCAGCTACTCAGGAGGCTGAGGTAGGAGGATGGCTTGAGCCCGGGAGGTCGAGGCTGCAGTGAGCTATGATCACATCACTGCACTTGAATCCTGGGTGACAGAACAAGACCCTGCCTCAAAAATAAAAACTAATAAAAATAGAAAAAGATATCCTACTTTTGTATTTTGGAGTTAAAGGCTGAGCTGATGAGAACTAACCTGAGTTCATACATCAACCACAAAGGCAGAAATGTAACATACAAAACAGGATGCCATGCCTGTGGGCCCAGGGCGGCAGCTAAGTGACCCACAGCAGGAGAGTTGCCCTTCCATCGGTCCATCCTTTCACCAGCCCTGGTCCTCCATCAACCATGGAGAGGCTTCTGGTGTGATGGAGGGCTGGCCGGGGCTTAACTCTCCATGCCTGCTGGCTCACAGCCCAGCCTGACTGCTCAGGTCACAAAAGGGAATGGGTGGAGCCACCACAGTCCAGACAAAGCAGCTGGGGTCACCCTGAGCTCTGTGGGCTGTGGACGTCAGGATGGAGCTGGGGGTGACAGACTCAGAGTGGGAGGACTCCCCAGCCAGCTGTGCTCCTCTAAGAGGCAGCGTCTCAGATTCATGAATGAGTCAGGACAAAATAGCTGGAAGTGCACTCTAGGAATAGCCTTGGGGAATGAGCAGGACTCTGAGGCTGCTGCTCCAAACCACTCAAGTGAGACAGCAGAGAGGGCACTGGCTGTGTGACCTTAGCAGAGCCCCTCAGCTCTGTGCCTCTGCTGACTCCTCTGTAAAATGTGGATGATGACCGCGCAGCACTACAGGGTTGAGAGGAGTAACGGGCTAATCCATGTATCCCCGCAAAGGACATGGCAAATGCCAAGCCCACGATGTAAATTCTCCAATTTCATCTCTACTAATGTCTTCCTGCAAAGGAAGGCACCTTGGCCAGCAGTTTCTATGAACAAAACATGCCCAAAGTATACATCCATACCTGGATCAGCTGCAGGGTGGCTTTGGGGGATGCGACTCGTTCATTTCGTTGTTCCTGAGGTCATCCAGAGCTCTTTGGAGCACTTTCTACATGCCAGGTTTGGAGGTCGATGCAAAGATGAACCATAGATGTTCTCTCTTTGAAGGTCATCGTCAGCTGGGAGAGACACATTGGCAAAGAGACTACCTTAATACAATGGGGTAAGAGTATCATTGGCAGCCAGGGGAGGCGCACGGGTGTGTGGTGGGTGGGAGAAGAGGCCATGGGGAAAACTGTCTAGAGGAAATAAGGTTTGTCTGGGCTAAGTCAATTCCCAAAGGGAAAGGCCTGGGGAAAGGACAGGAGGGCATTTTGAGATGGAGTTTCGCCCTTGTTTCCCAGGCTAGAGTGCAATGGCGCGATCTCGGCTCACCGCAACCTCCGCCTCCTGGGTTCAGGCAATTCTCCTGCCTCAGCCTCCTGAGTAGCTGGGATCACAGGCACGCGCCACCATGCCCAGCTAATTTTTTGTATTTTTAGTAGAGACGGGGTTTCACCAAGTTGACCAGGATGGTCTCGATCTCTTGACCTCGTGATCCACCCGCCTCGGCCTCCCAAAGTGCTGGGATTACAGGCTTGAGCCACCGCACCCGGCCCCCAATTTCTTAAGCTGATGTTCTATTCCCTAGACCTAAAGATGTGATTTTATTTGGAAGTAGGGTCCTTGAAGTTGTAATTGATTAAGAGAAGGTCATGCTACAGTAGGGCAGGCACCCAATCCAATATGACTGGTGATCTTATAAAAAGGGGCCATTTGGATCCGCTCGCCCACACAGGGAGAGCCCCATGTGAAGACTGGAGGTGCACTGCCACAAGCCAAGAAATCTACCAGAAGCCAGGAGGGAAAAGTGGGACAGATCCTTCCTAGCACCTTCAGAAGGAGCACAGTCCTGCTAACATTGGGATTTTGGACTTCTGGCCTCCAGAGCATCTGATAATATTTCTGTTGTTCTAAGGCAGCCAGTTTGTGGAACTTTGTTACGGCAGCCCTGGCGACCTCAAGCAGCATTCTACCTGGGCCAAAAATATGTGCAAAGATCCAGAGGCGTACGGGAACTGCAGGCACTTGTGAGTTAAATCAGAATAGAACCACTGTTTGGGGCATTCAAAGTAGGAGAATATTGACAAATTTGCATGGTTCAAGTTAGACTATCAAGTTGGAATAATGGACCAGGTTGAGTGCTAGGTGTGTGAGGGGTCAATTGACCGAATCAAGCTCAAATCTGAAATAAGCAATCTTCTTTCCTATGTGGCCAATGAATTATTCTCATAAGAAATCACCGTGGCTGTGACAGGTGTAGGAAGGACAGCTAGGATTACTAATTAATGGCAAGGAGCTATGGTTGCAAACATTTTCCAAACTCTATCCATATTCTATTTTAGGAAAAATGACTGACTATGGGACTTTCTTTTCCTGCTATTTTGAGGCTTTAAAATTTATCTGAAAAAGAACTCTCATCAGAATAACTGAAAGGCAGGCAGTTTATTCATTTTATTGGATGTGGAGTCTTTATCAGAACCAGCATTTACCGTACTTCTCATAGCCGTAAGCAAAACATTAGCATTTAGCAACTAGTGCTTATCTTTTCTCTGTCAAGCGGGGCCCTGAAAAGGGAGAGAAAGCCTCCTTTCCTGTTCTTTGGAAACAGCATGTATCTGGGCTCAGTAGAGCAAACCGTCTCATCGCTGCTCTAAGTGTTTGCAAACTTTTGGGCACTGGAGGGCACATGCATATGAGATGGAACAGGGCGTAGATAAAAGAACGCCTGCCTTACCGGCCATCCTGCCCAAAGAAATCACACAACTTCCACGGCAGTCCCAGACTTCAGAAAGGGAGAACACAGCGAGCACCTGAATCATCTTCAGTTCGACCTCAAATCATCCAAACATTGCCTAGCATAGCAGTGGATGAATTCACATTTTAATCAAAACAGGATTGCATAGAAACATACGTCCATACGCAAACCAGTACCCAATGTGTATGGTAGCTATCTTCTTAATTGCTAAAAACTAGTAACATCCTAAATGTCTGTCACCAGAGGAAGGGATGAGCAAACTGCTGCATCCACACAACAGTGGTGCCACACAGCAGCAGAGAGGGACAGCCGACGGACACACAAGGAACTCAGGTCTCAGGGGCATCGCACCGAGCTTGAGAAGTCAGCCACAAACCACTGCATGCTGTATGATTCCATGCATATGTGGCATTCTGGGAAAGGCAAATCTCCAAGCAGTGAGAATGTATCAGCTGTTGCCAGGGTTTGGGGTTCGGGGAAGAGGATGGATTATTAAGAAGCACAGGGGAACGTTTTGGGGTGATGAAAATGTTCTATGTCTTTTTTTTTTTTTTTTTTTTTTTTTTTTTGAGACAAAGTTTCACTCTTGTCACCCAGGCTGGAGTGCAATGGCGCGATCTCACCTCTGATCACTGCAACCTCCAGCTCCCAGGTTCAACCGATTCTCCTGCCTCAGCCTCCTGAGTAGCTGGGATTACAGGCATCTGCCACCGCGCCCAGCTAATTCTTGTATTTTTAGTAGAGACAGGGTTTCATCATGTTGGTCAGGCGGGTCTCGAACTCCTGACCTCAGGTGATCCTCCTACCTCGGCCTCCCAAAGTGCTGGGATTACAGGTGTGAGCCACCATACTTAGCCAAGGTTCTATGTGGTACTGATGGTACTGTACTGATCAGTACCACTTATTTGTGGTACTGATCCCAGCTATTTACACTCATCAGAATTCACAGAACCATCCATCTTAAAGCGGTGAATTTGCTGAATAGAAATTATACCTCAAAGACCAGATGTTCAAAAACCCTTTGTGTTTTGTGAGCTTCAACACTTGCCCAATGGGAACCACAGAAGCATTGCCCAATTTGTTGAAAGCGCTGCTGCCGTAACTTCATCACGTGGGGAGAAGTGACGCTTCCATGCTGTCTTCATTTGCTCAGGCCACCATTACACAACGCCATAGACTGGGCTGATTGATCAACACACATGTGTTTCCCACAAAGGAGGCTGGAAGTCCAAGACCCAGGTTCCTGGGGAGGGCTCTCTTCCTAGCCTGCAGGTGATCAGCGCCTGCTATGTTCTCTTATGGTCGTTCCTCAGTTTCTGTACTGGAGGGGTCAGAGGGACAAGTGGGTGTCTATCTTATAGGTGTCCTCATAAAGACACCATCCTATCAACCAGGACCCCACCCTGTATCTCAGTTAACCTTAATGACTTCCTTGGTGGCCCCCTCTCCAATTACAGCCAGGGTTAGAGCTTCAGTGTGCAAACTGACGGGCCACACAAATCTTTGTCCATAACAAATGCCCAGCAGACAGGACGCTCGGGTGCCCTAAGGCTGCAGGAGCTGAGAGTGATCTCGCTCAGGTACTTCTGGTTGGTAACTGCTGTGTGGGAAAAAGTCTGTCTCTCCTGGCTGGTGTCGGGAGTGACCAGGTTGAAGCCGTGCAATGAAAGAACACGTGCCGGAAAGAAAGGCCTGTTTGAGACTGACCTGAAAGCTCTCCCAGGGGAAAGAGCAGGTAAGCGTGGCTCCTTGAAGGTCCAGAGGGAGAATGGGCTTCCCGGAAAGAGCTCACTGGGGCTGCAGTGGGAGGGAATGAAAGGGGTGGATGGGACAGGGACAGGAGCGGGGGCTGCAGCTCTGCCTGACACGATCCCCTCTGCCCAGCAGTTCACAGTTGGACCTTGGCCCCCTCCCAGGCTGAAGAGAGGGTCCCCCTAATGTGCTGTGGCTCTGGGGACCAGAGGCCCTGCTGGGATGTCCTGGTGAGCAAGGGGTCACTTGGGATCTGTGCTCTGAACTCCAGGCCAGGGATCGTGAGGAGTCAGGGCAGGACGTGACTTGAGGGCCTGTGGTTCGTCACCACTCTGCATGCTAGTTTACGTCCCAGTGGCATCTGCGGCCAGGGAAGCCACACGTCAACACAAGCTGCGGGAGGAGAGGGGAGCTATTTAGGGCAGGAGACAGACTAAGAAATAGACTTTGCTCCCCGAGGGTTTCAGCCCATTCCTTTTCCCTTGTGGGTTTCAGCTGTGCCCTAATTCTTCCCTGCACAGGGCAGCTGGGTCTTTGCACGCAGCACAGCGGAGGTGCAACTCCTGAGGCAGTCATTCCACCCTGGACAGGGCGGCCAGGTGGGGGCCCCAGACTTGTGTCCAGGAGGGCACTGTCTGTGTGCCACGGCCCATCAGCCTCTTGGAGATGAAACCCCCAGGCCCCCAAGAGGGGCACACGATGCCAACTTCGAGTTCAGCATCGCTCCACTTCTCCATTCACCATCACTCCTCACCTTCTCCTGGACCCTGCCCTGATTTGCCGAATCTCCCTCCAGCCCTCTGCAGTGGAAGTGAGGTGGTGGATGACTCTGATACCAGCAGGCCTGGGGCGTTAAGATGGCTCGAAGCATATCAATCAGGAAAGGCTCCAGGAGGAAACGGGATTCTACTCTGAAAGGGCAAATGAAGGCATGTTAATGAAGGGACTGAAAGGTGTGGGCATTGTAAAGGGATTCAGCGAAGGAGAACAAGGTGTCCAGAGTTGAAGAGCAGCAGTATGCCATAGGGGAAGATATTGTCATTGGAATCCAGTGAGGACCACAAGTGCAGAGGAGGGACAACCCAGTGGGAACTAAGACCCAAAGGGACCCAGCCAGTGGCAGAACAATAGCCCAAACAGGAAAGTGACAGGGAAGACATACCCCAACTCCCTCCCTTCCTACCCTGTTACCTTCTGTTAATACTTGCTGAGGACAAGCCAAGTGGCATTTAGAATCCCAGGTGATTCAGTCTCAAGGAGCCAGCGTCCCAGGACCCAGGAACGTCCAGCACATAAATCTGTACTGGGGAACTGGGAGTCAAGTGGAAAACAATGGTTCGGTGTCATCAAATGGAGAACAATGGTCATTCCCACAGAGGACAGAGTTGACAGCTATGAGCTGTTCTCATGTGAGGACTGATAAAGACACCACCCTACCCACTATTAAGCCTTATCATGTACAATATACTGTTCCCAGGACTTTGCAAGTGTTATCTCGCTTAAGCTCATAGCAACCACATGAAGGAATCACTCTTTCTGTTTTCCACCTTTAGCAGGTCAATATGCCAGATATAATACACTGATTTTTAGCACCATCTCTGCCTTTCTAAATCTCCCAGGTATTGTAGAGGCTGAATGCTTAAAAGCTATGTTTCTCAGGATCCCAGTGGTCTTCCAGTTTAGATTCTCAGCCAAGTTTTAGGAGGCAGAGGAAACAGAGCAATCATTTTCTCATGGCAGCTGTGTGCAGGCGTGCCAATTCTAGCAGACGGCAGTCATGAGGTCTTGCCATTAACTTTGGGTCTTTTTCTGCAAACCATCCCAATGCTGAAGATAATTACATCATTTGCAGGGGGTTCCAATGATTCCTTTAGTTTACTGAGCTCCTTAAAAGCAGCAACTGTTTTTCTTGACCTTGGAATCAAGCCCTTTTGATGGTTCTAGAACTATTCATTTTCATGTATTAAATACCTTTCCGTTTGAGATACATAGAGTGTTTTCTATTTTCTTGACAGAATCCTGACTGATAAAGTACTTAGTACTGAAAGTAGTTCCAGGAAATACAACTGCAAAGATGAAGGGAAATTGAAGATGTGTTGTTAGGCATGGATTAGCTTGAAGCCAGTAACAACCTCATGCTAGCGGAAAATGGGTTTCTGGAAAAAGACATTGCATGCAGCGTCTTCAGTTATGACCCGTCATTCATGGTATCAATTACTTGTTAAAAGAGACCAAGCACTTTTTCGATAGGATTTTCTGGGGGGAGAGATACATACAAGGGTTAAAGTTACTGAATGCAATGGAAAATTTACAGAAAACATACAAAACAAAATACCCCGACAATCTCGGGGCTTTAACATTTCAACTCAGAGGCATAAGTCAAAAGCATCAGAGAAACTTCTACAATTGCCTCTGAAAGAATCTCTTATTGTAGTAGAAATCCAACCCAGAGTTGTTCCTGCAGGTGGCAGAATTACAACCAAACTTGAATTCACTGCCTCTTTAGGTGCTTATATGAAAGGTGATTAATTGGGAAGGACGTTGACCAGGAATATCGCCTTGGGACACGTGGGTGTGTGAAGATGAATCAATGTACTTCACAACCTTAAAGCCCACTGCACTGCCCTTCCTTTCCTTTCTGGGAATCTAGTCCTTTCTTGCTTGAAGACTTTGTAAAGACTCGTCTGAAAGAAGTACTTTCCCAGGGAATGCTGATTCTCCCATATGCACTACCCCCCATCACCCTCCCATGGCAGTCAGTAGAGTCATCCCAGTAGAATTCATAGAAATCAGTTCAAATCTGACCCAGGAGAAGATAGAAAACACATTAAAAGAACCACAACATTCTGCTAATGTATATTGTAGAAACCTGAGGATTATGTACAAGAATGAATTCTAAGGGACTTAAGAGAGAGACAAAGTAAAAACTGATTTGACTGAGCCAGATTTATCAGTCTAGGTGCACTTAAGAGAAATTCTGAATTCAGTGGCTTACCGAGAGCAGCTGGCAGTGGCTGTTTGGTTGAAGGACTAAAACAAATGGCCTACATTAAACAGAATTGCTTTCCAGAATATAAAAGAAGGAATCCAAAGTCTTAGATAAGAATGCCAGAATGAAAGAAGAAAAAAAAGAATGCCAGAATGGATTCATTAATTGTGACCCGCTCCCTGATCCTTTAACTCTAGTTTATGGGATTCCTGAGAACACTCTGTGAAATCAGGCATTGAAAACTACATCTCCAAGGTGAGCACCAGAATCTCTAGAAGGCCCTGCTGTGGCCATTGTCTGTAGGCTGGGGATGATGCAGCATGTCCCCATCTGGTGGAAAACTGATTACCGTCGACCCCTTCCCTCAGAGTCAGCAGTTTTTCATCACAGTACTAGACATTTACTTACTCTGCCTATGGATGCGTTTCCCATGCCCACAAGGCCTTTGCTGCCTCGTCACACAAAACTTACCACAGGCCTGGTTACTCACCACAGTGGTTTTGCGTCTGGCCTGACTTCTTACAAACTGATTAAAATGCAACAGAAGTGAGGCGATGCACTTGGTGCCCATGGGATTCACAGATCTTCCCATTGGTCCCACCGCCTACAAGCCGCATGCCTGACGGAACAGTGGAATGGCCCCATGAAGGTTATGCAACTGAGCCTGTTGAGATCTCATGACCTGTGAGGCTCCAGTGCTCTTTTACCAAGTACAGTGTCTATTGTGAAGCACATTCAATAGGAGCTGATTCTTGTATGGCCACAAAGTTTGGATTTGGGAATCAAGGGATAAGAATGGGACTGGCTTCATTTACCATTGCACCTAATGATTTTGCTTCTTACCACTGCAACTTGGAGCTCTCGAGATTTAGAGGCCTTAGTTCCCAAGGGAAGAATGCCTCTACCAGGGAATACGATGGATTTATTGCATAGAGAGTTGAGACTGCGACCTGGCCATTTGGAGTTTTTTATACCACTGAGTCAACAGACAAAGGAGGACGTTAGTGTACTGGCTGAGAATACTGACCCCAAATATCAAAGAACAGAGATTTGCGCCGCACATCGGGACAAGGAGGAATATGTCTGAAATCCATTACATCCTGTGAGGATGCTCTTTGTATTTCATTGTCCAAAGGGAGAAATCAGTGGAAAACTATAGCAACCCCATACAGGAAAAACCATCAAGAGCTCAGAAACCAATGTCTGGTCACCCCAACAAGTAAAGAACCACAATCAGCCGAGGTTCAAGCTGGAAGAAGGAATTTACAAATGCCAACTGTGGCCTCAGGGTCAGCTGCAGACTTGAGAACAGTTGCAGCTGCCTGGGTTTTCATACTTTTTTTTTTTTTTTTTTTTTTTTTTGAGACGGAGTTTCGCTCTCGTTACCCAGGCTGGAGTGCAGTGGCGCGATCTCGGCTCACCGCAACCTCCGCCTCCTGGGTTCAGGCGATTCTCCTGCCTCAGCCTCCTGAGTAGCTGGGATCACAGGCACGCGCCACCATGCCCAGCTAATGTTTTGCATTTTTAGTAGAGACGGGGTTTCACCATGTTGACCAGGATGGTCTCGATCTCTCGACCTCGTGATCCACCCGCCTCGGCCTCCCAAAGTGCTGGGATTACAGGCTTGAGCCACCGCGCCCGGCCTCGTATTTGTTTTGTTGTGAATTTGTGTGTACCAGTTTCTCTTTTCTCCTTCCTTCCCCAAGTGTTCAGTAGGTTACACTGATTACTGATCTCTAGGAGGTGAGATTGCGGTGGCCATGGAGGTGTACAGACCAGATCTACTTCAGAGGAACCTGCTGCAGGAAGCATAGCGGATGATGGCCCTCAGCTACTCCTCCTCCAGATCCATCACAGCAGTCAGACCAAGACTGCTGTTCTATGGAGTGCACCCAGCCAGTGGCTGAGAGTGGCAGGGGCCACTTTTTCTTGGGCCATTACTGTTCAACCTTCCACCATTTTCTCAGGAACTCCCATCAGCCTGCTCCAGACTTTCTCAGACCTGCAGTGGGGTCAGAACATGCTCTGCCTCCTCCTGTTCCCAATAGCCTTTATCCTTGCCAGGCATTTCCCCCAATAAATCTCTTTCACGTATAATTCAGTCTCGGCATCGACTCTTGGAGGACCCAAACTAACAGGGATGTGAAGCTGGGATTGTGATTAAACAAGGAGGGCTGATTCTCACCCGAAGATGGATGTGATGATTTATGAGACTTCTCAGAGAGGATCAGAGTGTTCTGTTTGTGTGGAGGAGAGTTGTATTGTACTAGGAGCATGCTGTTGTTACTAGTCTTGTTTTCTAGAAATTGTAATGAAGAAGCTTATGTGCATACACAGAGCAGCCGACTTGGTAGGCTTGCTAGATGGTGTCTATAGGCACTCAAAATCCAGTTCCCTTAAATCCTAGTTCCATATTTCTGGGTCATGTTGCAGCTCCCTTACTCTGGTATTCTGGCTGTGATTTGGGGTCCAATGAGATGCACTCACTAATATCTGCAATGTACAATGCAGACAGTCGCAGTGCCAGCTAAAGCTGACCTCTGGTAGAGTGGGATTTTTACAGTGACCTAACTCTTCAGTGTGATATTTCCTCCTGGTCATCAGCTACAGTCTGTGAGACAGCCTTGGGGAGAGAGGGTAGCCATGTTTCTCACTACCTCCCAACCACTGGCTGGGGTACCATCCTCTTGGCCTCGGGTCACAGACACAACGACGTGACCTCATAAAATCCCTGGCAAGCTGGAGGAGCAGCCCTGCAACCAAGCCTGCTCTTAAGATAAGAGTTTCTGAGGCTGGGTGTGGTGGCTCACGCCTGTAATCCCAGCACTTTGGGAGGCTGAGGTGGGTGGATCACAAGGTCAGGAGTTCAAGACCAGCCTGGCCAACATGGTGAAACTCCATCTCTACTAAACGTACAA